ACTCATTTAAGGCTATAACGACAACAATGATATACAGTGACTTATCATAAAGTAACATGTACTACAAAACAACATTATTATGCACTTAAATCATCATTAATAATACCATATTACTAATTAGTTAGTCAAAAAAGAGTCAAAACACTTTTAATTGCTTTGATGTAGCAAAAACTTTGACAACATCAGCTGATACAAGACGACATGATCCAGGATATCATACAGTTAAAAGAATTAATATTGATAGCTTCTCTGTCCATAATAGTAAACAGTAACATAGATCTAAATGCCTAAGGGACAAAGACAAACTTCAAGAACAGAAATATCATAATTTAGCATGCTAATGTGTTGACCAAGGTGTCGACACAACCAACAATGAAGCACCATGGTGCGTGGACTCGCCTGCTGAGATTCACCTGAGGGATAATGTGTTACTTGCACTGCCCCCATCATGATATGATATACATAAGCAACTTGATATTTGAAAAAAGGATAATAGATTTTGACAAAGTGCAAAGTGCAACAATGCAATTACTGCACTGATCCATAAAATAATTTTTAGGTGTGGTCAGCACCTAGCAGTACAGTGCAGTGCATCTGATAAACATGGCACGTGGGTAGGAGAAAGAAGAAAAGCTGAAATTTATTTTAGCATCTGAAGCTCTATTCAAAGAAAGAGTAAGCACAAAAAATTTGCCTATATATTTAAAAGAGACTGAGATAGTTTGGTTGCTCCTGCTTTCCCCAGTGCTGCCTGAAAATTTTTCGAAGAGGCTAAATCACAAACTTTGAGCAACTGTAACTCGCAAACAAAAAAGAGATCAGAAAATTCCCACATATTTTTAAATCTATGTACTTTTCTCTACCTATCAATGCTAATCTTGACCAAATAGAGTGAAACACGAAGATTTGGCTAGGAAAAGTGGTCTATTCTTGAAAATATTCAGCTTTTGCTACCACGGATTGCTATGAAAACACAATGGAGCTAAATAAATTATCTTTTTCTGAAAGCTTAAAAAGAATTATAACTCAGGAGAGCTCAGTAAAAAAGATATTGACTAGGAATTAACAGGAATTTTCGTGACAGAATGACAGACAGACAGAATGACAACCCAACTGCTTAGTACCCGCCTACGCAAGCGTGGCGAGTCCAACAAGCGTGGCGAGTCCAATAATATAATACGTACATAAAATGTTCGGTGTATAATATCTCAGTATGGTTCTACTCAGGGGCGGATCTAGGGGTGGGCCAGGGTGGGCCAGGCCCACCCAAAAATTTTGTTCAGTAATTTAAAATTAACTTTTTCATGTGGATAACTATGTAAACTGTGAAGCATGACTATGCAAACAATTTGTAAACCACAAAGGAGCTTACTGATTTTAACAGCATTAATCTTCAAAATTTTGAGTTTGATTGCAGGCATTGTTGGCCACACCCACTAATTACCACACCCAAATCATCAAGGCCCATCCAAAAATCCAATCCTAGATCCGCCCCTGGACTTCTACTAGACTCAAACCAAATCCAAACTTCTTCAGTTCTCCTAGTCAAAGTGATGGGGTAAGTAAGGAGGGGACTGTACCAGAATCCTTATTGAAACAAGCTCGTAAAACCGGTTCACTGAACCTGTCAAACAGGTAGGAGGCTGTGTGAGACTTGTAACATGTTTTTTAATTCACCAAAAATGATTTTTTGATTTTCATTTTTATGGCACATAAATGAACATGTGGATGTATGAAAGTTAGTGGGTGAATGTGTATAATTACAGGGGCATTAGTGTTATTCCTCCTAAACTGTGGAGACTCAATATTGATCCTCCTGATGGTAGTACTGCTTCATTTGATGTTGATGAGAGATGGTGGGACCAGGTGGAACTGACTAGACTGGATCTATCATCTAACGAAATCAAAGAAATATCTGAAGATATTGAAAACTTTAATTCATTGTCAGCGCTTGAGGTGAGAATGAAAATATAAGATTTTTAATATCATTATAATACATGTTTAGTGTACATGTATGTATGAATTAAATTGTAATAGCATGGTATACTGCATGGTTTGAGAGAACTCCCTTGAATGTTGTAGATTTGTTAATAGTTTAGTTTGTTGTTTATTTTTGTATAAAGACTCATAATTATGTTTACATGTTGTGTGTTATTGTTATTATAGGTCCAGTACAATGAGTTAAGATGTGTACCTAATAATGTGATCAAACTGGATAAACTATGTAAAATATTTGCAAGGTAAATATTGTATCCACTCTCTACCATATGTACATGTATATCTCTCTCCATGCATACATGTAGTTATCTATCGAGTATTAAATTTTATAAATTGACAAAAATTGTTTTAGTTTTGCTTTTTGGCTCATAAGGACATCAGAGAGAGAGAGAGAGAGAGGGATCTCAGCTTTTATTTTATGTGCTCCTCCTATTAGCTATACTGCATGGACAGTATTACCTCAATTTGTCTTCATAACATTGTCCATTAATTGATACATGTACATGTACATGTGTATTTATAGTCATTTTCAGTTAATGATACATGTACATGTACTGCATGTTTTTTGTTTTTCTTGCTTTTAGCTCCTTCATTGTAGTTAACTTATTAATTTGCTAACTTGATTCGTACACTTTACTAATCCATGAAAACTGTACCTAAGCAGTGGCACACACAATTTGAAGGAAAAGTGATAGAAAAACAGGAAAAATTTCCTATCACCATGTACATATGTATTTTTCTCTCCATTTTCTCATTTCTTTACTTGTTTCTTTTCTTTCTTCCCTTTCTTCTTTCTA